CTGTGATCTGCACAAAAACAGACTGCAGGTCACACTTGGCCCATGGGCTGTAGTGTGCCAACCCCAGATTTTAAGGAAAGTGAACCCAAGAAAAATATCCAATGTTACAGAATAAAATGTCTAAAAGTACTCTGATGAGACTAAGCTGCAACAATTACCGACATACCCCCATTCATATGATTTTATTAGTTACTTTATGTATGGAAGAAATTCTAATGATGGGATACACTTTCTTCTCCTAATCTGAAATTATAGACACAGAAAGAAAGGGCAAAGGACTACCATGCACTGAGTTATTCCAGAATAAAGTCCAACAGAACTCAGAGTCATTGTAGTAACATTTGCTATTCACCTGAACAGACCTGGCTAATCGAAATGGAAATGTCTCAACTTCCCTCACATAAAGGCGTATGTGCAAACTCTACTTCTTCCCTGGAAAAGGTGATGACTTGAATTAATGCGGATAATCATACTGATTAGGAATAGTAGCAGCTCAGTTGTGAAAAGTGACACAGACTTGAATTTGGGGTTTCGCTACAGGATCTGCTATAATCAGCTGTGTAATTTTCAGGGTGTCAAACCTTCATTTTTTTTATTTATAAAATTGGGACAGGAATAAAGTAGATAATATCTAAGACTCTTCCTGCTATTAAGCTATGACTATACTAAATAGTGAAACCACTCAGGAAATACCTAACAGGAAGAAGGGGGCAGGGCAGGAGAGAGATGGCAAAGGGAAGAAGCTCTGATTGTCCTGTCAAGAGGACAGGGCTGGGTTATCTCTTTTTGTTCAGCCAGCACCTTTTTCTGTGTAGAGCCATTTCAAGATGTCGGTATGCCCTCATATCAATATTAAAATGCATCCATTTCCCATAGGAAATATAATCTATAGCTGACTGTATTATCATTCCTAGTTGTCTTTATGTTACATTTTACAGGCATTTAATTAAATGTGTTTTTGTTTGTTTGTTTGTTTTTTGTTTTTTTGGGACAGAGTCTTGCTCTGTCACCCAGGCTGGAGTGCAGTGGCGCGATCTCGGCTCACTGCAAGCTCCGCCTCCCAGGTTCACACCATTCTCCTGCCTCAGCCTCCCAAGTAGCTGGAACTATAGGTGCCTGCCACTATGTCTGGCTAATTCTTTGTATTTTTTAGCAGAGACGGGATTTCACTGTGTTAGCCAGGATAGTATCAATCTCCTGACCTTGGGATCCGCCTGCCTTGGCTTCCCAAAGTGCTAGGATTACAGGCGTGAGCCACTCTAGCCAATTAAATGTTAATTATGATTACATAGGGTTTTTTAGAGCCAATAAAAAAAAATTCAATTTTCAAACATTTGAACTGAAAGGCGGGTTGGTCCTAGGCACTGGACCAATAATTTCAAATGGATAAAACATCCCTTCTTCATAGTTAACTAAATTATTGACAGATATCCTAGAAGATCTTCAATAAGTAAGATAAAATAAAATCTACCTTCCACCACCCCTCAAAGAGCAAAAAGAAAATTGAGGGGACCTGCGATATCGGAGAATATAGCAAAACCTTATTTATTTACTTATCTATTTATTTTTTAGAGACAGAATCTCGCTCCGTCTCCCAGGCTGGAGTGCAGTGGTGCAATCATAGCTTACTATAATAACCTTGAACTCCTGGGCTCAAGTTACCCTCCTGCCTCAGCCTCCTGAGTAGCTAGTATTAAAGATGTGCACCACTCCACCTGGCTAATTTTTTAATTTACTTTTTGTAGAGATGGGGTCTTGCTGTGTTGCCCAGACTGGTGTCAAACTCCTGGCCTCGAGTGATCTGCTTCAGCCTCCCAAATAGCTACGACTACAAGCACACACCACCACGTTTGGTGAATTTTTGTATTTTTGTAGAGACAGAGTCTCGCTATGTTTCCCAGGTTGGTCTTGAACCTGGGGCTTCAAGTGATCCTCCCACCTCAGTCTCCCAAAGTGCTGGGGTTACAAGTGTGACCCCAGCAATAGCAAGACCTTAGAGAAGTGAGAAGAAGAAAGTATCTGTGAGACAACTGTATCTGGAATCAAAATGACTAATTGTCTCCTTCCCTTCTTGATGACAGAACCCCTATCAAAACAGTGTCGAAAGATGGCAGATTCCCGTTTTTAAAACTACTAAAACTTTGACAAAGCAAAACTAAGACTTAAAATGTATCTTCATGGGAAGAAACAGACACCTATACATATCTACCAAAACACATACACACAAACCCCAGGCGTTAAGAAATGCATCTTTCCCGTATGACACAGAGCTTATCAAGTGTTGTCAGCAATGCTGTGGCAGACCTCATCAAAACCCAGTCAGAAAAGCACAGGAACTTACACACTTAGGTACTTCATGACTAGGGAGGAGACGGGCTGTCACCTCAATAACTTCAGATCACCTGGGAATGAGGTGAGGGGCATGCAGGGAGTGGCTGCTAGAGATGTCAACACCCAAAATCTATACTTGTAATCAGTGAAGAGTCTGTGGAACCAGAATGATGCTAACATTCACCTTATTTTCCCAGCTTAATTTTGACTGCAGAGCATTAGGTTTCAGGTACATAAATTCTGCTGTTTGAAGGCAGTGTGCTACCACTTCCTGTTGGAGCTCTGGGGCTAAATAAGAGGTACGGGATTTCCCCTCCTCCACGTCAACTGAAGACACAGCTCACAGCCTCTTTTTACCACATCCACCTCACAGAAAATATAAAGACCAAGATCTCACATGAGATTCACCTCCTTTTCATGTTCACTTCCTATTCTAATCTGTTTCAGAGCACTGGTTTTCATGCCTTCATAGCTGTCACCCTCCAAAGAACCTCATTTCCATCATTTTTTGAAGTCCACTGATAGACTTGAACCCTTCAAAATGAAAAGTAATTTTTAAAAGGTACTATTTTAAAAGGAAGCAGACACCCTTAAAGGAAACATGGGACAAAAATTAAGGGAAAAACAGAAAATGAATAAAGCTATCACAAACAAGCAAGTTAAGAAGCTTAACAAAAACAGCATCAGTGAGATTCACTTACTTTCACGGCAGGAGATACTTCTGGGAGGCTCAAATACAGAATGGACAAAAGGACACCCACTCAACTTGTTAGAAATTATCCTTTACCATCTGTACCGCAGTATGCATTCAACAATGAAAAGTCATTATTTGAGGCTTTGAAATTAATACCAGTGTCAAAAATTAACGCCCTTTAGTTGCTGTACCAGCAGCTACCACCAAATCTTAGGAATATACTTTAGAGATGACATTTAAAATCTGCTTTTTCAGAAAAGAAAAAGTCCCACTCAAGACTGACTGCCAAGAACTTGCAATTCAAACTTCCTTAAGCCCAGACATCATAACACCCAGGAGATTTTAGACCGTTCAAGCTATATGAAAGAAGCCAGAATGAGCAAACAAACCATAGCCTTTTCTAATACTTAAAGAGTGTTCTACACCAAATACTCTTTTTTAAAAAAAAGATAAATTATTTTTAAAAATACACAAATATTTAAACACACGTATTACCAAAGCACTAGCTCTCTATTATTTCCCAACCCAGAAATTCATGGGGAAATATGCTGTAAGAACCATATGAAAGATGCCTAAATAAGCCACTATTAGAGGCCAGAAACATCACCAAGACAACCAAAAGCTGAGATATTCTTAAGGTACTTAATTAACCTGCAGCTATTTAACAGGAGAAATGATGTTAAGGTGGTCACTTCTAAGACAGCTTAAAACCAGCTTTGACTTGGTCTTCAGTTTATGGTAAGTTAAGAGATTTTGTTACCTGAACACAGGGTCTTCCAGCACAAAAGTAGAAAGGACAGCTCCCAGCCAAGATCAGAAAGACTCTTGAATCAATTGGAAGTAACTTAGAGGTGTATCACATGTTGTGATTCATTTAACAATAATTAGAACCAAAGCAAAATATCCAGGGAGGCAGGTAGAACATAAGATCAATTCCTTGGCTGAGAAGTTGTTAAACATTCAAACCCAAGGATTTAAAATACTGAGAAGTCTTGCTTCTCAGGAGATCATAGTAAAGAGGTGAACCATATTTTCCTGACCACATCATTTCCAAAAGTCACCAATTCCCTTAACATCCATTAACACTCACAGAACAAATTAACGCTCTACAGACATTATTCCATCATTAGTCACATTTTGCTTTCTCCTGCACTTGATCCAAAGGAAGTAAAGAGAACATGGTAATCAGTTACTGGAGCAAGTCCTGCGCCCCACTACTTTCCATTTCCTCTCTTTTCCATCTCCTCTGTCTTCTCTGCTCAACCTCCCTTTACTATGATGTTGCTTCCTCTTTTCCTTTCTGTCTCACACCCAGATATCCTTTACTTTCTCCACCAAGTATCCTCATTCCGCCCTCTGATCCCTTGAACTCTTCTTCCACCTACAATTTTCTTCTGCCCCCTCCTACGACATCTCGGTCCAGACCTCCTGTGGCCAGCCGTCCCCTTCTTCCTCACCTCCTGACCGCTCATTCCCCTGAATTCCCTTCCAGTTGCCTGGTTCTCACCTCTCTGTCCCTTGTGTCCTCTGTCCCTTTACTTCACATCCCTCTCATTGCCCCATCCCTCATTTCCCCCTTCACATTTCCTTCCTCTCCTGTCTTTTAATCCATTTGCACGTCCACTATACCCTTCTCTCTCTACACGAGATTTCCTGCGTCTTCCCCCAACACATTTTGTCCCTCAAAGACCCCTCCCTGTCAGTCTGCAAACCCTCTCGTTCCCCCAATACCCCTAGTCCTTGTTCCTCTGTTCCCCTTCCCCTTCCTTTGCCCCCAAGTTACCCCTTCGCCCTAGCCTCACGTTCCCGCTCGCCCCTCTCCCTCAAACGCCCTCACCCCTCTCAGTGCCCCCGCCACCTTGCAGTCCCCGGGATCTCCTCTCCCGGGCTCCCAAGCGCCCCCCGCCCTCTCCCCGTCCCCTCGTACCCGCCCCCCAATTCTCTCCCCGGTCCCGGGCCGCGGCCCCTCCCTCACCGATGGTGGAGATGAAGGTGGTGTTGAAGGCGTCCTCTGAGAAGCGGAACAGGAGGCAGGTCTTGCCCACCCCCGAGTCGCCGATCAGCAGCAGCTTGAAGAGATAATCGTACGTCTTCGCCATCTTCTCGCTCCGGCCCTCTGACCGGGGAGCCAGAGGAGGCAGTGGAGAGAAGCGAGGAGGGGGCCGCGGGCGAGGGGGCGTGCCCGCCAATCCGCCGCTGCTCGCTCCGCCCCGCGCCCCGCCCCTCCTCTCAGAGAAGGCCTGCGCGCCCCTCCCCGTGAGGCCAATCCGCGAGGGCTTCGTCATCACCGCCCGCGCCCCGGGGCTTCATGGGACTTGTAGTTCCTCCCGGGAGCCTCGGGCGTGCCCCGCGCGGACTGTCCAGGCGGCTCCAGCGGATAAAAGACCTGCTATGGGCGGGGTGACAGGGTGGAGGCGTTTCCACCCGAGCTGGGACGGGACGCCCCGTTTCGAACTCTGCTGGTAGAGCCGCCGGAACTTAACTTTGTAATTTCTTTGTGTGAGGGCGCCTTCCAAATCCAGGACCTCAGAATCAGAGCCCCGTAGTTCCCGCATCTCTTCCGCCGAGACCTGGAGCAAAGATGCTTTCTTTCCTTGGCGCTGCTGTGGCGCAGCCTACGGGTTATCTGCAGAGTGCATTATCCAGCTTCTCCCCCAGGCCATGCCCAGAACCACTATAACGCCCCTCCGGCAGCCCCTCAGTCACAGAGCTGAGAAAGAATGGTTACCATGCTAACTCGAACCTCACTCGTGCCCCCTTCTTCAAGCCACACAGACCAGAGCCAAATACGATGAGTATTTAGAGAATCTGCTACGCTGATCGCTCCTCTCTCCTCGCAGGAGGATGGATTTTTAAATCTGGGAAACCTTGTGCTACAGGTCTGTGCCCCATAAAACTGCAAGCGTCCTGTGAGGCGGGAACCGGGCCACGGGAATTTAGAGAGTAAGATTTGAATTTAGTCTTGGGTTTGCTGCATAACCGCTGTGACAAGTCACGCAAACACTGTACTTTTCAGTTTTCTCATCTGTAAAATGGATATGAAACAATATACTTCATAGGGTTCTAGTGAAACTTAAATAATGTGGAAGTTCTTTGAAACCCATAAGGCATTGTTAGCATTGATGGTAATATTCATTAGTCTTCAGTAGGCTCTCACTTAACTGATGACGAATATAGGGGGAAACAGTATTCTGTTATACTGAAGTTAATCCTTTATTATTTATTGTCTTAGGCTAATTCTTTGTTTTGTGGGTGTATTGTTCAGTCCCCTTTCATTTGCTAGTGGCAGAAACCCAACCGGATTAGCTGTTGTGAAAAGGGAGTTGACTGGTTCAGGTAATGTGGAAGCAAAAGGCTAAGGAGGTGTGGGACCAGGAGTCCACCCTGCCAGGGCTCTCTGTCTCTCATCTGTTGTTCTCCCTTGGAAGTTTTAATTTCTAATATGTCAAATACGGACAGATAAAACCCACATAAACAAAAGCTTCTTGGAGTCTTCAATAATTTTTAAGAGGATAAAGGGGTCTTGAAACCAAAATATTTAAGAACCACTGGTCCAGACATTTACCATTTATCTTAGCTGTAAGGAAACACCTTCTGGAAGGCTAGAGGTTATTAAGGGAACCAGTGGACTCCACCATTAGTGGAATAAGAAAAGAAAAGAAAAAAAACGTGGACAGTTAGTTGAACAAGCCAGTAGGCTTTTTAAGACACATACTGTGTGCCTTGTGACTTTACGAACAGTACCACTGATAATCCATTCTCGGTCGCATTGTGGCAGAAGACTTAGTTGGCCCTGGAATTGGCCTTCATTTTCTATGTGGGTAAAAGATGAAATACATCATCATTAACTTATTGATCATACAGTAGCCAGAGGGCTGCTGCTGCTGCTGCTTATGGAATGTCTCATTCCTAGAGTCCACTAGATAGGAACAAAGCTCTAATGAGGTCAAAGTCACAGTGTCTGCCCCTAATGAAGAAGGATTCTGCTCTCTGGCACAGGCAGAGTCTCCTTGCCCAAGCCAGTCCTTGAGCAAGCCTCTGAACGTGACTTCAGCCATGGTCTGAACAGTGTGGATTGTTCTATACCTTCCTCCTCATTCCTGGAAAAGAAGGGGGAAAAATTCCGCAAAGACGAGTGAAATTTCTTTCTTTTTAAAAATGTATATTTATGGCCGGGCACGGTGGCTCACGCCTATGATCCCAGCACTTTGAGAGGCCGAGGTGGGCGGATCACGAGGTCAGGATATCGAGACCATCCTGGCTAACACGGTGAAACCCGTCTGTACTAAAAACACAAAAAGTTAGCCGGGTGTGGTGGCGGGCGCCTGTAGTCCCAGCTACTCAGGAGGCTGAGGCAGGAGAATGGCGTGAACCCGAGAGGCAGAGCCGAGATCGCGCCACAGGGCGACACAGCGAGACTCCCTCTCAAAAAAAAGAAAAAAAGTATATTTATTAAAATCATGTTTAGTCCCACTGTCTGTATGCAACTATTATCATTCTCTTTCTATATGAATCAAAATGTAGAAATAAAAATGTAGAATAAAAATGATACGGTAAAGAACTTAAGTTCAAAAGAGAAACTAGCATTAGGAATTTTAAAGTCCTAAATTTTCTTAGGGGAATTTTGTTAATTGGTGGGAATTTTAAAAAATAATAATGTTGTCTTATTTTCACTTCCCCAGTTTTTCTCTGCTACCAAGTATATATAATACTGGGACTTTCTAGCTGGTAAGTTTGTGCACCACTGTTGAACCATTCAAGCATTTTGACATATTGATACTACTTCAAAAAGAATTAGTTTTTTTTCTCTTACACATTATTCATTTTCCTATTTTGTGCCACAATGTTATTTAGATATCAGAGTCTGGTAACAGTAACTGAGTACTCTTGAATGAAGGCATTTTGCTCAAAGGACTGGACATTAATTATATCTGTAGCACTACAGTTACCTAAGGTAGCAGGTTGCTGGTTGCCACTGTTCCTTCTTTCTCTGAGAGCTATCAGTGGACTCCGTTTTAAACTCAAGTTACTATGCTCTGAGTGAACCACATCAATACTTTCTGTCAGTTTCCCAAGCCCACCCTATAAATACTACATGACTGCAGAGCACTAGGCAGACCAGCACATTCAATTTGATTTAGCGAATGTTTATTGAAGCCTTCTATAGGGTTAACATTGTACATGACAGCTTGACTACAGTAATCTAGATGTCCAAGGAGTCTACCTGCTGTGAATTTTGTCAGACCAACACTCTTTCTGCTTTTGGAAAGCTACTCCTCTTTCTAATGGTGACTGTGAATCATGTCACTTCTCTGCATATGCCACAGAGGTAGGCATATGACCCAGGCTGCGTCAATCCGAGTTCTTCCCTGTGAACTTTCTAAGGAAATGGGTTATTGCTGAAAGGTCTGTCTGGTATGAGGTCTGTGTGAGCTTTTGACTGGTTTTGATCAAAGTTTTAGTTCGTTTTCCTGTATTCTCTTGTTCCTGCTCTCCTCTGTGTTTACTTTGTCCTCAGGCTAACTTTCCTCATGGTAGCAAGCAAGACTGCCATGTTGCACAATGCCAAAGGCATTATTCACTCTCCACAGTAATGTATTCATCTTGGGGGTCCACCCCCAAGATTCTACAAACATAGTCTTGAGGGTCTGTGTGTTCTCTAAGCAAATTTTCAAAATAATTTAAGAATTATTAAACTGGTTTAAGTTGCTCTGTGACACTTGAGAGCAAGAAATGTCACCTTTCTTAATTGCTTTAATGAAATTAAATTTGACTGAGACTCCTACTTATCAAAGGCTGGCAAAACCAATATCAGGTTTTTATTGTTTTTGAGAAAGAGTTTCACTCTTGTTGCCCAGGCTGGAGTGCAATGGCACAATCTCAACTCACTGCAACCTCTGCCTCCTGGGTTCAAGCAATTCCTCTGCCTCAGCCTCCCAAGTAGCTGGGATTACAGATGCCCATCACCATGCCCGGCTAATTTTTATATTTTTAGTAGAGATAGGGTTTCACCATGTTGGCCAGGTTGATCTCAAACTCCTGACCTCAGGTGATCCACCCACCTTGGCCTCCCAAAGTGCTGGGATTACAGGCATGAGCCACCACGCCCGGCCCAATATCAGTTATTATTGGGACTTTTCCTCTCCTTAATTGTATCTTATAAGAATCCAGGAGCTTACATGGTCCTGAAAAATTAAAGGCAAAGCAGCCTCTGGGAATCAGTGTGTACCCATCTCGGTTGACACTTCTGCCCAGCCGCTCTTAGGTTCTGGCCCTCTGCCATCTGTTAAGCACAGCTGTCCCGGTGGGCTACAAAGATGTCCTTTATGGTGATTATCTTCACTGACTGATGACTCAGCTGTTGAATAAGTTCTCTCTCTGTTATTGAATGGTTTGTGTGCTTCTTTGTCTGCTCCCTTAAAAGTTGAGCTCTTTGAGGAAAGAGACTGCTAAGGTATTGCTGCATCCCCAGCATGCTTTATACATAGTAGGTACTCAAGGTGTTCAATGAACAAATGAATAAAGATCTGACTGGCATCTCAGCAGTCTAGCTAATTTTAAAACATCTGGACACCTTTAGTTTATGATTTGCTATAATAGGTGTTTGGGACCTCGCTAATACCTATTTGTACTCTACCTTGTATTTATATGTTATTCATTCGGTAAGTACACTATTCATTGTTGTGTTTAAGAAATCAGCATAATTATATATTATTTTTCTGGTTTGTCAAGATCACACTGAATGATAAACCCTTAAAAACACCAATTTTTCATATCACCTGTGTGTCATAAAGAAAATGCTATTTAGTGATACTCCAGTGTATAATTCTACAATTATCCTAATCAGAGGGACAAACTACCCTTTCCACTCACTGATACTTCCTGAGCAATCACTGGGTGAAAAATGTCCACGCAAACGTTCATTAAGTTCACAGTTTGAAACCAGCTAAGCAAGGCCACCTGGAGGATACAAAAAGATGTCTCGTGTGGTCCTTGCCCTCAGTTTGCTCCCAGCTAATTGAGGGGAGAGACCACAAGTGAAAAATTCAATGGTAAATGTGAGGCTTGTACACACTGCATTTATCTTGATAGGTCAAGATAAGTTGTCCATTCTGATTGGTTGGCTTTTCATTCGGATTAGTGGGGCATGCATTCTAATTGGTTGGGTGTTGATTTTGATTATTTGAGCATCCATTCTGATGGGCCAGGCTTCCAATCTGCTCGGTCAAGTGTTCCTGCC